CAGCAGGAAAGCGCCCTGGGCCGAGGATAGTGCGATTAATACCTGCCCGTCTCAGAGCCCCTTACAAAGGAGGGCCGTGTAATTACTGCCATTGTAGAGGCCAGGAAACTGAGGCACAGTGACTTGCACAAGGTCAGGGAGAGATCCCAGGGGTCCTGGCTCCCAGCTCCCCTGCTCTAACCACTAGACCCAACTGCTCTTCCAAAGCCAGGGAGAGAACCCAGGCGTCCCAGCAGGAAAACAGAGGAAGTGGAGGGACCAGGAGAGGAGGTCAAAGGAGGGAAGGTGAAAGGGCTGAGGAAGCCAGAAGAAGGGGGAAGTCTTAGCACCTGCCCTGCTCTAACCACTAGACCCCACTCTCTCCCACTCCCAGGAAGAGAAGCCAGGCATCCTGGCTCCCCGCTCCCATTGTTCTAACTCTCTCACCCCCATTAAGGTCCCTGTCCAAGAGCTAGAACCCAGAAGTCCTGATGGCCCTCAGTGTGCTCTGCCCACTAGGCCATGCAGCCTGGTGGTCAGGTACCATGTGGCAGCTGACTATACACTGAGCTAGGGCTGGCTGCAAATTTGCAGTGGCTAGAGATCCAAACTGGGATGTAGGAGGCCTGGGTCCTCTGCCCAGCTCTGCTGGTTGGTGACTTGGACGAGTCACTCCCCACCTCCTCCCATGCCTCAGTTTCCCCATCTGTGCCATGGAGTTAACGAATCAATTCCCTTTGCAGAACACTTGGAACGCAGCCAACAGGAAGCCCCAGGGGCTATGAGGCGCTATTAAGCAGCGGATACAGAGACAATTCCACTCTCCAACACACCCCATGGCAGAACTGGGACCGGACCCCAAATCTGGGCTCCTCGCTGTGCGTCCTTGCAGCTGCCCAGTGCCGGGCCTTTGCCTCAGTTTCCACATTACCTCCTGCTTTGGGCACAGGGAGCAGCCCCAGCTTGAACGGCCAGGTTCCTGGCACAGATGGGGAAACTGAGGCACAGGGGCGGGTGGAAAGTGACTTGTCCAAAGTCACCAGCCAACAGAGCTGAGCAAGTGCCCCCTTGGATTGGCGCCGGGGCTGCAGTCAATGCGAACTGGCTTCTCCCGCATGGCATGGGGGAGTCAGAAGGCAGCAGAGAGCCCCTGGCCTGCTCCCCTTCCTGCCTGCTCTCCCCAGAGCACAGGGGTGGCTGTGGGGTGGCGGAAGCAGCGGGCCTGGGGGGTGGGCAGGAGTCAGAGAAGGGGGAATGTCCGATGCAAGTCAGGAGGGGAGGGGCGGAGAGGGAGAGGGGATGCAGGAGGGAGGGGGAGGAAAAGGGAGCTGGATGGGGGACGGCACAGGAGAGGAAGAGGAGTTGGGGGGGGACAGGAGGAGGGGCAGGGAAGAGAAGGGGAGGGAAAGAA